TATTCGATTAAGATAAGATAAAAAATATGATAGAAACACTTACGGAATATGAATATACTTTATAAGATGAATAAGATATACATTATGCTTACTTGTTTTGTAACAATAGTCTAACAACATCTCGTAAAATTATGTATTGAATTTTCAGAAAAACAGTGAACAGTGTTCACGGTTTTTGAATCACGTGATAATAATTTGAACTTCAGAATGCAAAAATAGTATACTTATACTGGTGTAATAGTTAGGTCACAAATGGTATACTTCTAGCAATCAAATAGGTCAGGCTAATGGGCATAATAATTTGGCATCTAAACAAACATATGGAATTGGTGAACTAATAGAACTATACTAATTCCTTACAATTTTTATGACATTATTATGGTACCAACTTGGATTCTTCAGATCATGTGTTCTAAAGATCAGCCAAAATTATAATATAGTGCCAGCCAAATTTAGACGCAGATTTACATCGAATTTACTGTACCACTCATCACCTTTTTTTTTACACGATTTCAGCATCTAGAAAGGCAACTAAATAGGCACAAAGAAAAAGAACTCCAATATAGAATCTAGCATCCAATCAGGCGCAGGAGGCCAGCATCCTCAACATAAAACCAGATATCCAAACAGCTATAGAAAGCTAATATCAACAATATAAAATTTATCATCTAAATAAATTAGGAACAAGAAGAAAGCAGACACCATTAGATTATGACATCACTATTAAATTAAAGCATTACATCCGCTATTAGATTATGAAGTCACCACCGTATTATACAGGAAACATTTAAAATAATGCTATAAATGCAAAGGAGATACCTGTATATAGGTTATGAAGTCACCATCAGATTATGATATTAGGTTATGAAATTATCACCAGATTATGTAATTAGATTATGAAATTACCAGCAGACTATGAAGTTACCATTATATTATGAAATTACCGGCAGACTATAAAGTTACCACTATATTATAAAGCTATTGGCAAACCATAAAGTTACCACTATATTATGAAGCTACTGACAGACTATGAAGTTACCTTTATAATCTAATTTAAGTCGCATGTGACTACTTAAATAGAATTTTTAAATGAATTTAAAATATTAATTAATTAAAGAATTATAATTAATAAATATATTCTCTTTTAATGTATTTTTATTTAAAATTAATTATAAATTATTAATTATACTTATTTATTATTAAATTTAATAATTTTAATTAAATAGAAATGTTTTATATTTTTATTTTTTATAATTTTTTTTTTATTATTCTTTCAACTGTTTTGCCTATAAATTCATAAGCAATTTTATTTTTAATTATAATTCTTTTTAATTATTTTTAAATATTTTAAAATATATTATTAAAAAAATCAATACTTTTATAATAAATTTTATGATGTTTCTAAGTAAAAATAAAAAAAAAATGTAATGAACTAGTGATTTTTTAAAGATAAATAAATAATAAATTATTATATAAAAAATTAAAATTTTAAACTTATATATTTTGCTATTTATCAATTTCAAAAATATAAAAATACTATCATTTAATAGATCTTAATATGATGAATCCAATAAATTATATTTTATATTTTTATAATTATTAGATAATAAATTATTTTTAAAAGTTAAAAAATTAAATTTTTAATATACAGTATAATTGTTCTTCCTCTATAATCACTTTTATATAATCACATTTTATTATAAATACATATTTTATAAGAACTAATATCTATTAATGCTATATAAAAAACTCCTTTATAATCATAATGTTTTTATAATTATAATCTTTCAAAACTAACATTTAATAATAATATATAATGATCTTCTTATATAATCATTTTTATATAATTACACTTTTTATTTTTGGTCCTCTTGAGAGGTATGCTTATAAAGGAAAATTAATTATATGAGCTCTTTGCAATAGAAAGGAAGAAAACTACCAAAAAAATTTTTTTGAATTAATGTTAAATCTGATTAAAAAAATAATATTTAGCTTATCAAGCAAAAAAAAATTTTTTTGGTAGTTTTCTTCCTTTTTATTGCAAAAAGCCCATATATTAACAAATATTAAAAATTAAATATATTAAATATGATTATATTTTAAAGTAAAATAAAGAAAATAAGTAATATATAGTTTAAACTAAAATTATATATATAAATAAATAAATTTATTATTAAAATAAAAAAAATTATATTATTTTTTTTATGAAAAATTATTTTTTTAAATGTAATTTCCATTTAATAATAATATATATATATTTTATATTATATAATACATGTATATGAAAATTATATATATAGTCAACTCTTGTTATAACGAACTCTATATCCTAAACCTCAACTTTATTATAAGGCTATAGTGAAGATTTTAAGAGATTTGATTGGTCAATTCGCTATAACAAGAGTTAACTATATAAGGAAGATTACTAGGAAAATCAGACTTTAGAAATTTTTTAATAAAATTTTAATTTTTATTGCATTTTAGTTTTTAATGTTATAGATTAAAATGTAATAAAATTTTAATTTTAATCAAAAAAGTAAAGCCTAATTTTTCTAATAAACTTATCATATACATATTATTTATATAAATTTTATATATTAAAAGTAAGTTTTATTATTAATTATAAAATAATAAAACCAAAGATAATTAGTAATTTCTAATAATTATAGATAAATTATAATTTTTTTTAATATTAAAAACATATTTAATATTATAATATTAAATATAAATATTTAAAAATTAAAAATCCAATAATTATTATTTAAATTAAAAAAGGTAAAAACTAATATATATATAAAAAATATCAATAATTTAGAATTTACTGATTATTTTATTTAAAAACTAAACAGATTTATTTTTGATTTTTAATTTTCTATATACATTTATTAATTTTTCTTTAAATAATATTATTTTAAAAATAATTTAAATAAATAAATATATAAAAATTATTATTCACAAAGTGAATATATTAATGCTACTTTTAAATAACTATTATATAACTTAATAGTATATTAGTAGATGTTTTTTTTTGCAGTTGAAGGGTGCTTATACGAGAAGCAAAATAATAATAATTATGAAAATTGGCACAATACTTTTTCAGTTACTCAATCTACTACAATTGTTCAGATGCATTTACAGATGTAATTAATGAACTTAAGGAATTTACTACAACACAAATTCAGCAAATTCATTAAAATGAAATGGCATTAGCATTTAATTATAATGCAAACCTTTAGATCAATCTTATATTAATAATGAAAATTCTCAAGGTATAGCATTTAAAAAAAAGCAATTTCTCTATTTTTGTTATGTATAATTAACATGATTCATTCAATTAATTTTTAGTATTGGTCATATTCTTCGGATTTCATTGAAAAGCAGGGAAATAAGACAAATTACATTTCAACGACTTTTGTTATCACGTAACGAAATAGACATCAAAAGCATTTGAGGAGTCGCTTATTTAACTTCGTCTGTAATAAATCACTGGTCATTTTATTGAATAATGAAGTATATAAATGCAGACATTATTTTAGCGTGATGTTACAAACTTCACAAGCAAGATTTCATATTGGATTTCTTAATCAACTTTGGCTTGTTTCAAATCAACTGGATTTTAAAGTCAACCATTTTATTCTGCTACAAATTCAAAATAATTTAGAAACTTCAGTAAATCTTGATATCATTCCAGACTTTTTAATTTAGAAAATAATGGTTTGGATTTGAATGGCAATCAATATGTTTCTCTTAACAAACAACGCCAATATTATGTTCATGTATGGGGATTAGTTAAGCAAGCGAATCGGATTGCTTGCAAAAATTGTGATGAATCTTTTGTAATTTTACGAAGAATATTTTAGCAGAAAAAAATCACGAAGCACTAAATTTGGAACAATCTGAACCAATCCAAGATATGAATGAACAGGATGATCAAGAAAATATAGGTCAAATTCAAAATCTTATAATTAGGCGTCCTAAAGGAAGACCAGCAGGTACAGTGAGATTCAAAGGACCCTTAGAAACTTCTAATGAAGTTAATAAAAGTCGCAAATGTGGGTTATGCAATGAGAGTGGACATAATCGTACTACATGTCCAATGAATACTAACCGAAAGAAAAGCCTTATGAACTGGAAGATGTGGGCTCTTGTCACGATAATTGAGATATTCTTCAAGCGAAACATCATCACTTAAAGTGATCCCGTGTAAACTTTATGTTGTGCGCCCTGGCGAAATTAATATTCTTAAAATGTTAAATCTGTATTTTAATACACAGTATGAACTTTTTTAAAAAGAATTGTTGATTATTATAATTAATAATATTTGAGGTTGATAAATTTATTAACACTTTTGCGAAGTATAATTGACAGCGATTTGTCGGATGATAATACGTTACAACCCGGAGAATATGAAATCAAACTGTAAATTCCATAAATATTTCTTAGTTCGAATTTTTATAGTTTATGATAATGGTTTGATTTTAATTAAAGATTGCTTAATATCTCGCTGAAAAATATTAAAAATCCTCTACAATTTTTTTTTTGATTTCTATGATCTAATATTATTGGTAAAAAGAAAGGTTGTGCAAATTTTTTTAAGAAAATCAGAAAACAAAGTTCAAGTTAAAATATAGGCCGTTCGTTCCTACGTGAACTTCTTCGAGAACGAGCAGCTTGGATAGGGTAAGTGCATCCGTCAACATAAATTTTTCCTTGCTTTATAGCAGCATTGTATTTCTCATATGATTCGAAAGTGACAAAAGCACAGCTCTAATAAAATACAAATGTATAAATCATTTCGTTAATATGAATGCAGTATTGGTTAAAAGGATTACCTTATTGGTCACCAAATCAAGATGAAGTACTCGACCAAATTGTTCTTCCAACGTTTTTTTCAAATTAACCTTAGATGTATCAGATTTAACGGATCCAATATAAATGCGATATTCTAAAGGATGAAATATTAATTTGAATTTAAAATTGTATTAAACACGAAAAAAAAAAAAATAATAGCTCCTTTTCTTTTACCTTCAAGTGGATTTTCTTGATTAGAATGAACCCATTCAGTAGAATCACAATCATTTTCTATATAAACAAATTCTAATTTACCATTACCACGACTATCATTATTTTGTCCGTAAAGTGACCGACCACTCACTATTTTTATTAAAATTGAGTATACGGTTATAAAATAAATATTAAAAACAAAAAAAAAAAAAAAATCATTTGTATAGTTTGTAAACTTTACTTATAGATTGTCTAGGGTCCTCTCTCAAAGTCGCTATTAATTCTCTTTGCGACTTAATTAAAGCTTCTTGTAATAAGGCTATTTTCTCATCTTTTGACTTGATAACCGTGTCTTTTAATTCGATTTGTAGCTTTAATACATCACAGCTAGAGCACCTTTTGTGTCCCATATTTGATTCGAATTCCCCCATATATATATAACAAACTAATTTAAAATTTCTGTCGCGATTTTTATAAACTTAAAAATAGACTACGTCAGACAGCCATTGTGTAACGAATGCCCATGCAAATCATATATGAAAGTAATTATAATAGGTATGCCAAATTAAGAATGTATTCTAATATACTTGATTCTTTTGTATAAAAAGTAACGCCATATCATTATCCAGTATTTAAATAAAAAGTCTAAAACTTCTGCTCCTCTTCCTTTTTTTATACTATTCTAACTTAATCACTGGTTTGGTTTGGGAAGGTATAAATGTTGATTATTTTATAATAAATAAAAAATCGACTTTTAAAAAAAAATCAAATCTTTAGCTCATTGGAATAGTAGATATTAATTGGTAAAATTAAAAAGATATATTTCTCAATTAACCTTTACATATGAAAAAAAAAAAAAAATGATTTGGCAAAGTGGAAATCTCTTCAAATTTACATTTGAATGCTAATTCTTGATTCTTTGATGGTAAAATAAAGGAAGACAAGTAAATCAGGAAATTGGCTGATGTTATTAAGATCACGATCAGTCATTAATTTTGACCCGAACCTAATCCCAACTAGCTTTTTCCCTTTCTAAAGAAAGTGATTAACAAAATTTATTTATTTTATTTTTTATTTTTTCTTTATCAGATAAATAATTTTAATTTTAAAAAATACATATAAATCTTATGATTTATAACTTTGCATCCCATTTTTTCACATTCATATATTTAATACCTTCAACATACATTTCTTCTTTCAATGATCCATAAATCGCACCAGCTTTTGCTTTACCAGACCATTTTAATCCCAACTCTTTTGCTTTTGCTAATACTTCATTTTCTGGTACAATAAGTTCTACAAGTCCTTGTTCTAATGCTTCTGTTGATGTAAATTTATGAGCTTGTAAAATACAATCTCGATAGGTTTTAGGCGTCATTTTAATACGAACTATCGCTGCCATACCAGGATGAAGAGGAGAAGGAATGTCAACTTCGTTCTTTTATGAAAAATAAATTAAGTGGTTTTTATGTAAATATAAAGTATGCGAAATATTCAAGTAAAATTGATTACACACCATACATAAATATCCTCTATCACTTCTCATAACACGATAATCTAAATTAAATTTAAATAAAACATTAAATTATTTTTTAATTTCAAATGGATTGTATATCTTTCTTACCGTGTGCAAGAGCAAACATAAATCCTCCGGCAAAGGCATGTCCATTAATTGCAGCAACGGTAGGGATAGGAAATGTCAAGACCCTTGTCAACAATTTCAAATAATAATTATCAAAAAATCCTGGTACGCTAATAGCATGTTCTAAATCTAATCCATTACTGAAAAATTTTCCTTCACCCGTAGTAATGAGTGCTGCAGGTTCGCTATCATCTTGATTACGAACTTTTTCGATTTCATCTAAAGCTCCAAAAAGTGCTTCAACAAATTTTGTTGTAAATCGATTTTCTCCGGTTTTCATTGTCATAATGAATAATGGTCCTTCTTGAACAAGCGTAACCATTGGATTGGATGTATCAGGAAATGCTAGTTTAATACTCATTTTCGGAATTCGATACGCCTGAAAAAAAATAGTTTAAAAATTATAATTTGGAATTCGATCTGTTGAACCATTGATTAAAGAGTAATTACACTAATTAAAATAAATTAAAGGGATCGAATTTGTGACGGTACATTTGAATTGACACATAATTATAATTAACAACCACCTTATCAGAAGATTCTGCAGAATAAAATCTTGGCAAAGTAACGTTCCTCGATAATGTAATCGGTAAAAACGGGTAATTTCCTAAAGGATTTTTGGAAGATAGATAAAGTTATTGATCGGTGATAAAATATCATGATTTTTGGGGAGACACAAAATAATATGGTTGCATAAATACTTTTTATGAAAATCGCCACTAAATTAAGGTATATACTGTAAATTAACTTTCTTAAAAATTTTTTGTTTGTAAACCACCTTTCCTAAAATATGAACGACCTTTTTTCTTTTTCAAATCTATTCACCTTATCTATCGGCATTCTAATTATAATTTTTATTATATATAAACAATTCATAAATCGAACCCAAAGTTTGGCTCGAAAAAACCTTAATTACTTTTATGAAAATAAGTTAAATTACGATACAAAACCTATAATACTTGGATTTTTTCATCCCTATTGGTAAGTTTTTTCCTTATAAAAAAGAGGTTTTTTGATTATTCATTTAATTCTAATTTAATAATTTATTTTGCCAATTAATATTTTTACATGTTTAAGCAACTCTGGAGGTGGGGGGGAGAGAGTTTTATGGACGGTTATAAGAAGTGTTCAAGAAAAATATCAAAATATAGTTTGCGTTGTATACACAGGAGATACGGATGTAACAAAAGATGCGATTTTGGAAAAAGTTAATGTAATTTAAAGGGATCTTCGTAGTTCAATCTATCAACACTTTTCTTAATTTACATTTTTCAAACATTATTTAGATCCGATTTAACATTAAACTTAATCCCGACAATTTATTCTTTGTCTTTTTGAATAAACGAATATGGGTGGAGGACAGTAGGTATATAAAAATAATTATGAGAATGCATCTAATTTAATTATATGTTAATATTTTTAACAATATATAAATAGATATCCTAGATTCACTTTATTAGGACAAAGCCTTGGTTCAATAGTTCTTGGTTTTGAGGCTTTAGAAAAACTAACGCCAAATTTTTATTTTGATACCATGGGATACGCATTTACATATCCTATTGCGAAAAAAATCTTTGGATGCAAGGTTGGAGCATATGTGCATTATCCAACTATAAGGTACTTTTAATATCCAATCCGAATAAAAAATAATAATAAAAAAAAAAATTCGATATTAAAATTTCTTTTAATTTAGTTCAGATATGCTCGATAAGGTTCAAGAAATGAGACCCGGATTTAATAATGATCAAGAAATTGCCAGAAGTCGAGTATTCAGTACTGGCAAGATATTGTGAGATTTATTTTATTTTTTAATTATATTAATTATATAAAATATACATTTTTGAACTTAAACATTTATTGTTTTATTACAGATACTATCGAATGTTTGCTTATCTTTACTCGTTAGCAGGAACCTTTTCTGATTTAGTTATGGTGAATTCAACGTGGACAAAAGGACATATAGATCAGTTATGGGGAGTAAATAGCAAAATAATTTATCCTCCATGTGATACTGCTTCATTAACCAAATTGCCCTTAGAAGGAAGGCAAAGGATCATAGTCAGTGTAGCTCAATTCAGGTTGGTTAAATTTCCTTAACTCTATTCTAAATTTTCGAGAATCACTTTATTTAAAGAATATATCATTTCATGTTAGACCAGAAAAAGATCATTCTCTTCAACTTCAATCTTTCCATGGTTTATTATCAAATTATCCAAATTTTCGGCAAGGGCCGGAAAAAATTGAACTTGTATTGATAGGTAGTTCTCGTAATCAAGGGGATGAATCTAGAATAAGAATATTGAAAGAGCAATGTAAAGAACTTGATTTAGAGGTTAATCACAATTAAAAAATCAATGATCAAGCCTTTATTATTTGTATTGAAGAATATATTTATTGATGTTTTATATATCTAGGATAATGTAACTTTTGAAATCAACGCAAGTTTTGAAAAACTAGTTTATTGGCTTTCAAAAGCTAAAGTTGGATTACACACAATGTGGAATGAACATTTCGGAATTGGTGTTGTAGAATATATGGTATCAGATTTAAAGTTATTTAATTTGGTTACATTGTTAAATATATATTTGGGCATAATATAATTTTTTATATTATAGGCTGCAGGATTAGTTCCCGTAGTTCATAATTCTGGTGGACCAAAAATGGATATTGTTGTACCATATAATGATCATATAACAGGTAAGCAAATAACCGTTGCTTTTAATTAGTTTCATTCTTTAATTAACGTTTATTTACAGGCTATCTTGCAAGTACTGCAGAAGAATTTGCAATAAAACTTGCAAATATATTTTCATTATCGGAAAAAGAATTTAAAAATATACAAACTAATGCTAGAGAAAATGTAATTGGTAAATTTTCTGAAAGTGTATTTCAAGAATTAATATTAAATTTATTGGATCCCATTTTACAATCAAATAAATAATTATTAAAATACACGGACACTATATGCAAGTATCGTTATCCGTACTGTTGTTCAATATTTAAATTTATTATACAGTTGTATTACATCCTCTGGTTAAGTCAATAACCCCCCAATATGTAGATATATTGGATGGAAATTGTATAGAATGTTTCAATTATTGGCGATTACTATAAAGTGACACCAAATTTACGTGAAAATCCTCTATCATGATTTCTTTTTTTGTTATTTTCACATCCGTTCGCTTCAGAATCGGTATTTTCCCAAAAGAATTTGAACATTCGAATTCATAATGGAAAATAAATTGCATGCTTTTTTAAATTCACAAGCTTGCGGATCCTGATATTCTGTAGTGTAACACAATAATGAGAATTGTGTAACTTCGTATCTCGAAAATTTAACGGTCGAGACATGGTTATATATGGTGATGTAGAATGCGACCAATGAAATAGCCTAGCGTGAGAAAATGCTTAATGAGAACAAGTTCCGATGTACAGTCTTTTTGTTATTTTCACATCCGTTCGCTTCAATGGAATCGGTGTTTTTCCAAAAAAAAATTTGAAAATTCGAATTCATAATGGAAAATAAATTGCACACTTTTTAAATTCACAAGCTTGCCTGCGGATCCTGTTTTAGTAACGATATTCATGCAATGTAACACAATGATGAGCATTGTGTAACTTCAAATTTAACGGTCGAGACATGGTTATATATGGTGATTTAGTACGACCAATGAAGTAGCCTAGCGTGAGAAAATGCTTAATGAAAACAAGTTCCGATGTATAACTAATGTTTATTATACAGGTTATCTCGCAAGTACTACAGAAGAATTTGCAATAAAACTTGCAAATGTATTTTCATTATCGGAAAAAGAATTTAAAAATATACAAACTAATGCCAGAGAAAATGTAATTGGTAAATTTTCTGAAAGTGTATTTCAAGAATTAATATTAACAATCAAATAAATAAATATTAAAATACACGGACACTATAGTCAAGTATCGTTATCCGTACTGTTGTTCAATATTTAATTTTATTATATAGTTGTATTATATCCTATTTTATGAGCTGTTTACAGTCAAATAAACTCTGGTTAAGTTAACAACCCCCCAATATGTAGATATATTGGATGGAAATTGTATAAATATTTCAATTATTTGGCGATTACTAAAAATAATGATAAAATGACATCAAACTTACGTGAAAATCCTCTATAATATTTCTTTTTAGTTATTTTCACATCCGTTCGCTTCAATGGAATTCGGTGGTTTTTCCCAAAAAAGTTTGAACATTCGAATCCATAATGGAAAATAAATTGCATGCTTTTTTAAATTCACAAGCTTACGGATCCTGTTTTAGTAACGATATTCATGTAGTGTAACACAATTATGAGCATTGTGTAACTTTGTATCTCGAAAATTTAACGGTCGAGACATGGTTATATATAGTGATGTAGAATGAGACCAATGAAATAGCCTAGCGTGAGAAAATGCTTAATGAGAACAAGTTCCGATGTACAGCTAATGTTTATTATACAGGTTATCTCGCGAGTACTGCAGAAGAATTTGCAATAAAACTTGCAAATGTATTTTCATTATCGGAAAAAGAATTTAAAAATATACAAACTAATGCTAGAGAAAATGTAATTCGTAAATTTTCTGAGTGTATTTCAAGAATTAATATTAAATTTATTTGGACCCAATTTTATAATCAAATAAATAATTATTAAAATACACGGACACTATATGCAAGTATCGTTATCCGTACTGTTTTTCAATATTTAAATTTATTATACAGTTTTATTATATCCTATTCTATGAGCTGTTTACAGTCAAATAAACATAACTCCCCAATATGTAGATCTATTGGATGGAAATTATATAAAAGGTTTCAATTATTTGGCGATTACTAAAAATTTATGTAAAATCCTCTATCATATTTCTTTTTAGTTATTTTCACATCCGTTCGCTTCAGAATCGGTATTTTCCCAAAAAAATTTGAATATTCGAATTCATAATGGATAAATTGCATGCTTTTTTAAATTCAACAAGCTTGCGGATCCTGTTTTAGTAACGATATTCATGCTATGTAACACAATGATGAGCATTGTGTAACTTCGTATCTCGAAAATTTAACGGTCGAGACATGGTTATATATGGTATTGTAGAATGCGACCAATGAAGTAGCCTAGCGTGAGAAAATGCTTAATCCGATATATAACTAATGTTTATTTACAAGTTATCTTGCAAGTACTGCAGAGAATTTGCAATAGAACTTGCAAATGTATTTTCATTATCTGAAAAAAAAATTTAAAAATATACAAACTAATGCCAGAGAACACGTAATTCGTAAATTTTCTGAAAGTGTATTTCAAGAATTAATATTAAATTTATTGGACCCAATCTTACAATCAAAATAAATAA